TACTCGATATAATTGCTCTGGTAATTTATATAATAAATTCTGAATCAATAAATAAAAAGTAAATCAGTGAGAATCCTCCCGTTCCGCAATCCCCACCCCCTTAAAAAAAAACAAAAAAACACACGCCAAACATATTTTCATTTTTAAGCTGTCTAACAATAATGGCAAGTCTATTGCCGTTTTAATGTCGACTCTGTTTACACCGGGTTAGGTGCACATTAAATATAGTTATTTGAAGTAGTTCGCTTTTATTTCGGAGTATGATGCAATAATTCCTGTCTGTTTTGACATCTACTGCTCTCTTTTATAGCAAAAGATTTCCTTCCTTCCTGTTTCACTCAGAAGAGCGTTTCTTATCCGGGTTGCCAGTCGAGAGAAGGCGGTGCGGGTTTTCCTCGTTCCAGATTGTAATATGATCGATGGATAACGGGAAACTCAGTGCGGCTGTTGGCTCTTTAATTGGGTACTTAAGCAACAGTTACTCTCGCAGTCGGTAAAAAATGTCATTCTTTATGGAGATAAGGTAATGTTTAGATGGAGATCAACGCAGATGTCGAGAACCGTGTATGAATGTATAGAAAAGTTTACAATTTTATGCGCATATATATATATATATGTATATCCAAGGAGGAGTTATTCAATAAGCAATTACAGGATGTAAGTTTATGTGGCCACGATACGAAAGCATTATATATACACAGCGTGTCCAAAAAGTTTTCAGAAAATAATAGGTAATACTTATCTTGATGTTCTAAAAGAACAACTGGAAGAGCCCCATCTAAATGTCATCTTTCAACAAGATAGATCACAACCTCATCCACGTCCACGGATTTTTAAATGAAATGTTTCCAGATCGCCGGATAGGAAGAGGTGGACCGAAAGATACCGCATTAAAGCAATGGACTTGGATGACCTTAAACAAAGAATACACCCTTGTAAAAATCGTTTTAGTTTCATTCTTTCACCACACGGTCAGTTTTAGACCCACTGGAGTGACAGGGTGTAATCGATTTCTATTTCGTTTCAGATTAGGTCATTTGCAGTGGTGTGATGTAATATGAATCTATTTTCAGGGTGTATGATGAAATTTGTTTCGCCTTGAAAAATTTTGCATCATCCGTGATTGCATCAGATTTTTATCACGCCCGGACACTATTGTCTCGACTATCGATTAGTTGTCCTACGGCCATTGTCTGCGATGGATGTTACTCCAAGGAAGCATACGAAAATTGTAGCGCTGCATGAATACACTGGCAAGCTTTACTAGTGAGCGAATTAAAGTATTATAGACTGGCCCAGAAACTCTCCTGATTTAAATCCATTCGAGAATCTGTGATCAATCTGCAAGGGACAATTTCGTGGAATCGACATACGAAGTACTAACATATGCACAGGGGATTGTTTCATTGGAAAAATACAAAAAAAGTAAATAATAACGATATGATTCGTTTTGTTTCAATTATTTTGCACAAGGGGATAACTTACGCCATTGCGACTATTGATGAAGGTTTGTGTACTTTAACCGCTCGGATACGAGAAGTCTCCCAATCATGATAGAGCCTAGTTGACTTTAAGGCCAAGAAAACAAACAGATATTCTGTTTAATAAATAAACCGATCGTCTACACGAGTATCCACTAAAATGCAATTATGCTGTATTAATGTTAATATAAAGTCAAAGTCGGACGTTTCGGTCTATTTTAGACTATCTTCAGGACATTTTCATTAAACATAATTAACATTAGAACATATAAAATTTAACATGAAAAGACGATGGACATAAGAGCACAACTAATCCAAACAGATAACTGAAATTTTTATATAAGATCAGCTTTCCGTTTAAATATGATCACGTCGTCATCACGTGGGCGATGTTTTGAAAACGTATTCGAAAATACAGAAAATAGCTTGTACGAAAATATAAGAATCTATTGATCAAGTAAGGAAAGGATTTATTGACGAACTGTTTTAAAATTGTTCCATCGTGCCTGTCTGATATTTTGAAATCATTTTTGATTTGCTTTGTAACGTGGAGGACTTCAAGCTTGTATGAAGATATAAGAACCTATTGATCTCTGCGTATTCCTATATCAACGGAAGGGATTTCTTGAACTGTTTATATAAAATAGTTCAATCGACTTTTTTAATATTTTAATATTTGGAAATCATCTTCGAATGCGTTTTCCACACACACACACACACACACACACACACACACACACACACACACACACACACACACACACACTGGGTTTTATAATAAGTATAACTCGATATGAGTTGTCCACCTTTTAATCTCGCGATGCCTCTTAATCGTGTTTTCAAATTGATTTCGTTCAAAAACAATTGTGTTTTTCCAATTTTTGGCGCTGTTAGAACCACCGCAAGGTAATTTTACGTAGTCCTGTGAAGTTTTGTTGAAATCGGTTGAAAAATGTAGGAAATCCGATCCAATATATAAACGTACAGACAAACACACACACACAACCTGGGTTTTATAATAAGTATGATATATGTTTCATTTTTTATTTTATTTATTTATATTTTATTTTTATTTTTTATTATTTTATTTTTTATATTTTATTTTATTTTTTATTTTTTTTGTTTTTATTTTATTTTTTTAAAATATTTTTTTTATTATGTTGCGTTTTGGCCTTTAGAATTTCATCGGACTAAAGTGATGTTTACATTGATGCGTTCATATATTCAGACGAAGGAGAGGCGACGTTGTCTGTGAGAAATGTTAAATGTTAAATTATAGAATTAACGTTTAATTTAATGCTCGACTAAAAACTTTACAAAAATGAAGACCTTTACCAGTTCAGTTCTGATTATAAATGTGTTTTAGAATAAATTTTCTTCAAGTGCCAAAATTTGCATTTACTAAACTTTGCAAATTTTAAAGAAAATCCAAAAAAAAAAAAACATGTCCAGTTGAAAACTTGCGAAAACTGATCAATTGAAGTTAAGCGAAACGATTTAGCGGAAGTAATTTTTTTTAATACAGAATTTTTCATATAGATTTTTTATGTAGACATTGTGTCAGAAGTAAACATAAGATAAGAATATTGTCTCTTACTACGATAATGCTGAGAAAATATAATTTGTTTGTGAAAGAAACCACATCAGTTCCATTTAAAAAAAAACAAAAAAACTATTTATTTGAATCGGAGTCAGTTCTTAGCGGCAAATAAGAGACGCCATACTTTATCTGATATATTGAAAATTGTAAAGAAACGTTTTTGATAAGAATGAGTTCAAAATTAATGGTAATTATTAAAATCTGGGTTCATTGACCGGTAAAAGCATTACACGCTTTTCACCGATTTATTCATATAATTCTATATCTTAAGAAAAAGAAAATGTGGCGGAGGATGAAGAATGAAATAATGAGACGTTATCTTTCATGTCTCACGAATGCGATTGTTTTAACGGATAGATTAAAAATTATTTATATTATTCGGACTATTGTCCTCATCTTTGTCGCCATATTTATCACAACGTTTCGGCCTTTCAGTATCTGTCTATATTTCTGAGATGATGTATTATGTACACTATTTACATTATTCGAACTATTGTCCTCATCTTTGTCGCCATATTTATCACAAAGTTTCGGCCTTTCAGTATCTGTCTATATTTCTGAGATGAGGTATTATGTACACTATTTATATTATTCGGAGCACTGTATGGAGCACTGTTTTTTTTTTTTTTTTTTTTAAATAAAAACAAAAATACTCCGGATTATTCACCTAACGTGTTCTTTCCTATTTTTCTACATATCTGCACACACACACACACACACACACACACACACACACACACACACACACATATATATATATATATAAATATATTGATACAATAAGCTTTATATATTAAAGCGCATGAACTAACAACCGCTGGAATTTTCCGGTTCGATGTTTCTTTGCCACTGAGCTACCAAAAAGGGGAAGTTGATAATATGCGAACAAAAGTAAAGCTATGGTGGAAGGCGACTGGAACTGGAATATATACAGAAATGATTTTAAAAGAGAAGGTTTCTTGAAGAAAATAACATTATCCTGTCACGCAAAACTCAGTAATTATCCATTGACTGAATATATCACGGAATAGAATAATAACTATAGCCAAAAAAAAAAAAAAAAAAATGTCTGCATGTCTATATTTTTTCTTTGTGGGTGAGTGGTAACAGGGTCAGATTGAAATTCCGTTGGGAGTATTTCTTGTGCCCCTGCGAATGGAGGTTGATTCTCTCAAGCGATTGTTGGCAGAATCTCAGGATTTGAGTGGCATTTTGGCAGTTTTTATTTTCCCGCCATCTTGAAATCGTTCGAAACCATCAATGCCATGTTGTCCCGAGCCGCACAACTATTAACTCGGCCCAAACTCCGTCCGAAGCTGTCCAGTGCATGATGGGTAATAATTTGGCAATGCTAGCAATCTGGTTGGTAAAAACATCGAGGAACAAACAGGAAAAAGAAACAAAAAAGAAAGGAAAAAAATTCTTCAAACGCAAGGAGAGAAAAAACAAAAGAGAAATAAACGAAAACACACACACAAACACGCAAACACACAAACATATATATATATATATATATATATATATATATATATATATATATATATATATATATATATATATATATAAAGAATAAGAAACAAAGAAAGTATTAATGGTAAAGGGATTTGTTAAATATTTTGAGCGCACATAATCTATCTATCTATCTATCTATCTATCTATCTATCTATCTATCTATCTATCTATCTATCTATCTATCTTAGTCTGTTCATATCTATCTATCTATCTATCTATCTTAGTCTGTTCATATCTATCTATCTATCTATCTATCATACTCTGTTCATATCTATTTATCTATCTATAGAAGCTAGCAGAGGATTATTACTGT